GGAGTCTATTCGGGTGTTTGTCTCTGAGTTGATCCAACTCTGGGTGAGACGACTGACGAGTGGTTGCGATGACATGTTTGGCGTGAGTTGTGGTCAACACCTGTCGCACTAACTCGAGTCCAATGCCCCGATTGGCGCCTGTGATCAACACCGTCTCGAAACTCATTTTACAAATTAATACCAAATTGAGAAATCTTTATAGAAAATAAAAATTGATAATGTTATATAAAATATATCAATTCAGCAAAATTCAAAATTAAATTCAAATACAAAGTGATCGCAGTATTTATAGTGTGCAGTTCATAAATTGCACTGAATATCGTTGTTTATAATTTAGCAATATGTTATAACAAATATACGTAATTAGTGTATTTGTACTATCATATTAAAATACACTTGACCTTGGTAGGTTTGCTTCACATTACTTTACTTTAACATAGGTATGTAGTAATTATTAAAGTTTCTATATTTCATTGTTATTGTAATTAAAAATAATATGAACTAGTCCAATGGGAAGCTAGTAGATCCATTTTATAATACACAAAAATCTGGTTACATTTTCTGGTGATAATCTGATCCCATTTCCAAACCTAACCTAACCTAACATATCCGACCAATAAACCTGTCAATACCTTAATACATACAGTAATACATCGACGCACCAACACTGTAACCAGGGTGGCCAGAATGTGCCCCTTGGGGAGGATTGTTCTCCTTTTGTCCCCTCAGAGCACTGTCCCCCCGGTGTCTGAGGGGGACATTAAAATTTCCTCCTTGAACATAAATTGCATAAATTGCCTCTCTTTTGCTAATTTTATGTGTTTTATAGTAAGTTTGTGTATATAAATATGTTCAATTCTAGTAGTGTTGTTGAATTCAATACAATTGTTGGCAAAATATTTGTTTAAAGATTGTTTATCAAGTAAAGTTCGTACTCGTCTCAATTAATATAGTAATTTTATAAAAATAATCATTTAAAATTTAATCCTTTTGTGTAAATATATTGAAATCATAACTCATTAAGAGTTAATGAGTTTCATAATCATATATTTATTCAAATAATCATAGAAAGTAAATGTTAGTATAATACAATCAATATGGTAATATTGAGCCCTCATGATTAATGAGCTTTCCCAAATTATCATCAGTGACCATGGTCTTAATAACATTCATCACACCCGACACACCGGTGCTTACTTCCAACGCAGCATTAGGTCCGCCCATATCTGTCTTCAGATGACCCGGACATATACTGATCACATGGATATTGTGTGGTTTGAGGTCAACCGCCAGACATTTGGTGATCATATTGAGTGCAGCCTTACTCGTACGGTACGGGTATATCGTATGACTACTTGTTTTGCTTATGGATCCCGCCGTCGACGATATGTTAACTACAGATGCCTTGCCTTTAGCTCCTGATACCTGATTTTTAAAACAATGGCTTATTTAACAATAATATTAATCATCTAAAAATTATTGCAAACCTTAAGCAATGGTAGCAATGCTTTGGTTAACATAAGCGGTGCCACAGAATTCACTTCAAAATTCTTAAGCATAACTTCGGCGGTCACTGAATCCAAACCATCGCGAAGTGCTATTCCCGCGTTGTTTATCAGTGTATCCAATCCCTGGTCACCCACTATAGCCTCCACTTGTTTGACAAACTCCGGAAAACTGCTATAATTAGTGCCCTCCAGTTGCAGGACATGGAGTCTATTCGGGTGTTTGTCTCTGAGTTGATCCAACTCTGGGTGAGACGACTGACGAGTGGTTGC